ACATGCTCCAAAACTGTCGGTCTTGTTCTTTTCTATAACTAATGACCGTTTTTTTAAAGTTTTTCTTATTTTATTATTCATTGTTTATTTTTCTCTTCCTGTTTGCATCATTAGAACTTTTTATTTCATTTTTTAAATATTATTTTAAATCAATGACAAATTGATAGATGACAATCAAAATTGGGGAATTAATAATTTGATTTGTTTTTAAGAATGAATTATTTTATAGTGATCGATAGATACTCTCACTTATTCCCTGTTATCCTAATGACAGGTAATCATAAGATCCCCGTTAAGGATCTCATTATAAATCGACAAGTCCTTATTGGCAATTATTTGAGCTGAGAGTTTCACGCTCAAGCATTTCGACTGACAGATTCAAGGACATTTTGATAGAATTGTTAGCCTATATAATCAAATCTATTAGAAACAATTACTTGTATTTCATATTAAATATTTTTTGTATCAAACGATTATCAATACTAAACGAAATAATTCTTTTTTTTCCAATTCTTTAAAGACGAATTATTGCTATTTTATTATCATTATGATTCATTTTTATTTTAAATGTATTGTTAATATTTTTTTTTCTTCAATAAAATATCAAATTTATCTGTAGGTACTTTTCTTAGAGATACCATATCTACTATTTTAACAATGGCTTCTGTCCGTATTTCAACACGTATATACTATAATACTCACGTAGAACTTTCATTCGTCCCTCACACGTGCCCCCTTTGGAAAGCGCCACGTTTCCATGGTTACAACATTGAGACTTTGCAAGGGGCTGGCAAAATGATGGCGATGAGAGACAAAATGCTTTCTAGATATATAAAAAGCCTCATATTGCCCAAGATATTCTACATTATTTTAATTAAATCATATTAACATAAATTTAATTTAAAAAAAAAAACTTCAATCAATAGCCATATTTTTAAAAGTAATTGATAAATAGGTTGAAAAAATTTTATTGCACAATCAAAAGCTCTCAAAAATTAATTAATAAATATTAAAAAAATCTTTAATGTCATTTGGGTGAATTAAATAATTGATGGATATTACGCAGAAGATGGATAATTTTTTAAAATTATATTATCATAAGAATTAAAATGCAAAAAAAAACATTTGTCTTGTGAATAAAAGTCTAGGTAATTGAAAAAAATATTTCATTCTTTTCAATAAAAATTGTCGTTATTTATATATAATAATTTTTTTCATTATTTGTGTATCTTTTGAGCTTAACTGTCTATTTATTCTCATTAATCCACGTGTCAATTTATTATTTTTTATTCAACAAATTTTCAAGTAAATTATCAAATAAAATCTACCACTATTCAAGTCTAATGAATAAGAAATTATTTAAATAATAATAATTATCAAAGCTGACTGCAAAAATTTTAGCATACAAATCCCTAAAAAATAATGGAAATTGATACTCCAAAAAAAAAGGTTTATTAGTGAATAAAAAAAAAGAAGAAGTAAAATGGCGTCTTGAATGTAATCCAGGATAAAGCGAAAGTGAATTCTGGTTAGATGAGATAGGGATGGCGTTGTCAAGAACACGAGCGGATATATACTAGAGGGGTGAGAAGAGTTCGGGGCAAATACGAGAAGAGGAAGATGGTAGACATATCTCATGGATTACGTCTTAACAAGCTCCACGACATTCATTTGTCTTATCCGCTTTTCCTAATGCGACAGCAGCCGTTGAAATGATTAATTCACCACGAAGCAGCATCGTTTCTCCGTCTTCCTATTGCGAATGTCACGTAGATCAACACATCATCATCTCACATACATATACGGATATACAGTGAAATTTTATTTCGCGTCTTGCGGAATGTAATTCAATTGCTAATACTTGAGAGAAATAAGTGTGAGACGTTAATTGAACAACTGAAGATGGTAGTTTCAACGCGCAAGTTATTAAAAGACATCCAAGTCTGTTAATTAAACTCATGCCTTATCTATTTTGCATTTTATCTTATTATTCATCTACTTTAGTCATTTAAAAAATATACATATTATTTATTCAAATATAAATATATAAATATATTAATATAAATGACTATGTGGTCTATGGTCTTGAATAAATTGGATTAAGTAATAACTGATATGGAAAATTGTTGCAACAAGAAAGTCAACTTTCTTGACACTTCTCGATGCTGATCAATGACTAATCCCACTCAAACTGTCACTCATCAAAGCTGTTAGAATGCTCTGCATCATCATATAACAATGTGGCGGCCGATTACAAACTCATGTTCAATACGGACAAAGTGTTTATAATTGTAATAAGCCTAACAAGCACCACGAACATGTGCTTTAGAATATAGTTTCTATGTAGATATGTATGTAGGTGCATAATGCATCGAAAAGCCAACATAATGCGTTGATGCTGACCGTCGGATGTACTTATCCAATATGCGAATGGCAATGGACTATTATTGTGTGCGAGTCAGGAATACTAAAATTCTACAAAACCCTGATCACGATTGCCGGAAGTAATTATTGATATTTTTAACTCTATTCTTCCATTTTTGGGTATTTATGAATGTATTGATGCCTTTGAAAAATAAAAGGGAATTTTTTATAGAGATTAAATTAAAATAAAATGAGTTGATATCAATTTTATCTTTAATCGTTAATTTTTATACTAAAAAAATTAGCTTATTAAATTATTTAAAGACTAATTTATTTATTTTTAAAATTAATTTTAAAAAAACGCGACCGTAGAAATAATTTATTTGTTTAAATTGTTAAGAATTGTTAAGATAAGGTAAGAATTTGGGGTGTGAAACATTATTAACAAGTTAGGAATTGGATCTGAATATACTGGAAAATTGAGTTGAAATGTCTAGTGTAATGAATAATTAAAAAAATATTCCGAGAGCTAGACAAGCATACTAGGAATATTAAATGGCAACAAAATGGCAGTCGAATGTCCAATAAGGGTATATATTGAGGAGAATAGCGAGAGGGTTTCAGAAAAATATCACCCAGAGATTCTATCGCTCTTTTGGTCTGCACGTTCTCCGATTACGTGACGCGGATCGAAATATATTCTCTGTACGGAAGTTTAGTAGATGAGGGTTGAAATTCAGACTGCGCAAGCGTATCTAGTAAACTACTGTAGCAAGTGGAACTTGAAAACTCCGCCCGATAGTACAGGCAGACATGCACATTGTTCAATTTTGCTGTAGCTACATGCTGGATTACACATCACCGCCCACAATATGTGCTCCATATTATGTCTGCTGATGAGAAAGTTGAAGACTCTTTTCACTTAGTTCAATATTATTCATAAATAATATAAACTTTTATAATATTATATTATTAAATATCATCATTTTTTTGAACCTGAATGATTAACAAATATATTTACTGATCAAATCATATTCTTGGATCAAAAATAATTCGTTTATTGATCATAGTATTCTTAAATTAAATAATAATATTTGTCCAACGATCCATTTTGTCTTTATTCATGTTATGTTGAACATAAATTCCAATTTTATTCAAGAATAAAATAATTATTAAGCCAAGAATATGATTTGTTAAAATATATTTCAAAAAATCAATCATAAAATGAAATAAATGAATATATTGTTTTAAATATTCGTCCTTCAAAATAAATATAATAAAATTTTTTGAGTTTCAGAGGATTAATTATTGCATTTAATGAAATATTAATAATGATTGAAAATGATGTTTTAATGAGCTTCAATTTAAAAATCCCCAATTATTTGAAATATGATGGCCGAAGTAGTTAGGTTTTATGTTGGTCCAACATGGCGATTGAATTTATAGATCATTAAAATCCCTTTAGCTTGGCTAACTAATTAATACACAAATTTTTTTTATGTCAATAAAAAAAAAGCTTGTTAGACTAATGAAATATTTTTTTAAAGAAAAAACCGTCGTTAGGTTAATAAAATTTTTTTTCTTCATCTATCAAAGATCATCTCATTCATGGTTTTAAAAATTTTTAAATCTTCAATTTAAAAATAAATTTCTAAAGTCTCTGCATCATTTCATGAAATAATAATAATTTTCTTTATGAATAACTCATAAAATAGCTTATAAAACAAAGTCAATATTTTCCAAGATACAAATATTTAATATTTAAATAATAAATTTTTTCAACTTCTCTACTCCAAGTAATTACTTTACAAAATGGTTGAACTCTGAAAATACAAACATTGTTCTCTAATAAAATTTACTTATGCATTAAATAATTATTAAATTTTTTTAATTTTATTCAAAATTACAGATAAAAAAAACTTCATACATTTCTTCATCAAATATTTTCCCAACAAAACAATTTGATTCTCGATAACTTCGAAATGACCAAAAAAAACATCGTTGCGTTTAATTACATCAATTAAGCACATTTAATATCAGAGTTAAAAATTGTATATGAAATGTCGTATATTTTCGTTGGCACAAACAGCATTTGGTCAGAATGTAACTAAAATTTACAACAATGTTACTGTAGAAATTGAGATTGAAAAAGAGTTAAATGGGGAGTAAAATGAAATAGAAGGGCCGAATACAAAGAAAGTTATGGTACGTGAGGCCGCGGGCGTTTTACTAGGCACGACAAACGAATTGACAGAGGAAGAAGACGAGGAATCTATAACGTAATGGAACCGGCTAAATGGAATTGTAATCAAATCGACTGATACATGGAACTAAAATTTCATTATCCATAGGTCATGTTGTAATATGAAAAAAAAATATCCACGACAAAATTAATTTAAAAAATTTTTTTTCCAATTCACTAAAACTATTTTAATGTTAAAATACATCATCATTCAAATCTCAGTTTAAATATTGATAGTTTGGCAATGATATCTGAGTAATTAAATGATTCTTTTGCTATCGATTGCCCTGTAAGAAGCATGATATCAATATCGGGTCAAAAATCCTGATAAGGCTCTTCACTAACATGTGAACCCTCGTTTTTCTCGATAACTTTTATTCTGACGACAGTTTGGGTTAGTCACTCAGTGATGTGAGCAACGAAACACGTGATTAAAATTAATTAATTAAAGTTAATTTAATAATTACTTCAAAAACAATGATTGACTTTATTTTAAATTTATTTTTCACCAAAATTCAATCAGCATAATAAGGAAAAAAAAACAAAAAATAAATGTGATAAAAAAGAAAAAATGTCTTGAAAGTGATTAGGAAGACAGATTATAAAATCTCCAATATAAGAAAAATACTTCCAATTGTTTCAGTAAAAATATTTTTTATCAAAATATCACAGTGATCTTGTGAAGTCTGTTATCTACGTAATACTCGGCATTTTTAAAAAAGATATTTTTAAGTGAGCAATTTAATAAGTTAATTAAAGATAAACGTGATGAAAGTAACAATAAAAAAAGTTTCTTTCTGGTTGAAAGCTAAATTATTTATTCTCTGTTTTGTGTATGGTTTTTATTTTATCCTAAAACGTTTAGTAAAGTGGGCTTGGAATCCGAAAAAATTTTTCGATATGAGACAGAGAGATAAACCACCACTTTGTCTTGTTGATAATAGTCTTGGTAAACATTCATATGTAAAATTAAAGGTAGGTATTATTTTTTACTATTTTATTTTATAAATAATACTTCTACTACGTCATTTTGACCTCATGATAAGCGAGATACAAAACATTGCAAGAGAGTGTTGTTAAAATTTTATTATCTTTACTTGTATGATCGTAACGTTAAAAATCGTTATAAAAAAAGTAAACAGACATATCTGAAACAATAATTAATGATGTTTCATGTCGATTAATTCAATGGATGCTGATTAAAAAATGGTGAAATATTTGTAATGTAATAATAATAATGATTATAAAAGCTAAATAGCTGTATTAGCAGCTATTTGTTTTATTAGATTTAACATTTACGTTTTATAAAACACATAATCATCAAAAAATATTAATCAACCTGCATCATTGAATAAGGTATTTATATATTAATAGTATCATGTAATTTTTATAAAATTATCAGAATTTAATTTCACTGAAAAAATATTTTTTGATAAAAGTAAGAAAAAAATAAACTAATTAATTAATTATCAATTAATAGTTATCATAAGGTGACTGATTAGTAAATAATTTTTTAAAAAAAATGAATCATTGAAGTGATACTGATATTAATTGTATAAAATCATTCTAGGGTATAAAGTTCCATTATGTGGAAGCTGGAGAAATGAATAAACCACTTGTATTATTATTGCACGGTTTTCCTGACTGCTGGTTATCTTGGAGAGAACAATTACCAATTTTATCCGAGCATTATAGGTTTTATTATCCTCATAAAGTATATTATTACGTTCAAGTTAAATCTTTCAACATGAATTTAATTACTTAATTAATTCATTCTGCTAGGGTTATTGCATTAGATTTAAAAGGGTTTGGAGATAGTGATAAACCCACCAACAGACGATCGTATAAGATAGAAATCTTAATAAATGAACTACATCAGTTTATATCGACGCTTGGAGTTGCTAAATGCAATATTATTGGCCATGATCTTGGTGGTCTCTTGGGATGGTTTATGATAGGCCTTCACAGTGATATCGTTGATAAATTCATTGCTATTTCTAGCCCACATCCTAATTTTTATTGGATGGAAATGGCCAAGAATAACATATTTAACAACAAGTATAACATTATTTATTAATATCAGATTGATAGTTTAATGTTAACTTTCAAGTAGTAACTAGCTCTGTAATAATTGTATGTAAGAATCTCAACCTTTAGTGAGATTTCTACTTTTAGATGGATACATTTTAGTAGACTACCTTTTTTACCAGAAATGGATGCTCTGAAGGAAGACCTTTCTGTTATCAACGATACTTTTAAGCATCTGGAGATAAACCAGAAAAGAGAGGAAAATTATGTTGAAGCTTATAAATATGCATTCAGCAGAAGTGGTAAATAATATTTACATTACACATATCTACAGATAATTATTCCATTAAATTAATTTCTTCATTGTTTGAAAAGAAAAAAAAATATACTTATTTTCTATCAATGATGCAATATATATATAGATATGTTTATATAAATAAATGATTAAAAATGCATAACTGATGGAATAAACTTTTTTTCATAATTAGAGGATTGGACAGGGCCAATAAATTACTATCGAAATTTACCATTTGTTCGATTAAACTCAAGCGAATGTTTCAACAACCAAACACTATTGATTGTTGGTAACCTAGACTCTGGTGTATCGCTTGAAAGTATTATTCAAAGTTCAGAATACGTCGACAGGTTTACTATTAAAGTTATTACAGGTGCTCGTCATTTTCCGCACCAAGAAAAGCCTAATGTCGTGAATCAAATAATACTGAATTTCCTTTTAGGTAAATATGATAAAATGTTAATTATATCAATAAAATATTCAGCATACTCAGTGAATATTATACTTGCACATTTTTTTATTTTATATACTACAGGTCCACCAACCATCAATGATAAAGGATCAAGAAAGGGAATTGTTTCTACATGGCTAGGTTCCTTAAGCAGTACAGTTAAATATGGGAATCAAGTATTTGATGCAGTCCATAAAAGAACAAATGGTGTTGTAAGTCATCTTCAGAAAGTCTATTTACTTCATTAAACTACTATTATGTCATATTTTAATTAATATCATTATTAATTCATAACATTCCAATTATTACTTATCTTCTAAACCTTTTCAGCTCGTAAAATGATAAGGCTAATTTCGAATGCTAGTAATAATTGTTCTGAAAATATTTTTATCTGTTTCCTCATCGTACAATTAATAATAAACAATTTATTTAGGATAAATTACGCAATAAAATACTTGAGTAAATAAAAATACTAAAAACTATATTTTATCTTAAAAACTGTTGAATCATCGTACTGAGGTAGAAAATTGATGTAAGTTGATTGTAAATATTTTAAAATAAAATTAGGAAATCAGATGATTGTTCCCATAAAATTTGTAAAGATGTATTTTGCAATGTTGTTGCATTCCAGTGCCTAAAATTGATTTTAAATTTAACTTACCAATTCTGGTGGGGTTCTAATACTTTTCCTGAAAAAAAAAAAAATTTAGCTAATATCATGTTACACTATAAATTATTATTTCTTAATTAAATATTTTACCTTTTAAAGTTTTCTCCATCTTCAATAGTTTCTGGTAATTTACAATCCATCGTCTCTGGTAAGAAATAACAGAGTCCAGCTCCAATTATTGGTCCCACACCAAAGAGCAATGGTGCTATCCAAGATTCACCCTGTGACAATTAAATTAATTCAAATGATCCAATTTAATTAGAAAGTAAATATTATTTTCAATATAAATAACATAAAATTACGTACTATTGTAGCGATGAATGGTGCAATCATGCTACCAACTCGAGCGGAAACACTGCAAACTCCAAATCCAATATTCCTGACGACAGTCGGAAACAGTTCTCCAGTGTATAAGTAAATTGTTGGAAAACTAACAGTCATGCCAGTAACACCAAGAATTGCGAAGCTCGTTTTCGCAGTCTCATTATTTAGTAGAGGTATTATCAGTAATAAACTGATTCCTGATATCAGATTTGCTCCAATTAAAATTTTCAATCGAGACATTCGAGATATTAGAAAATAAACAAGGATAATTCCTGGTAATTGGAAAGTAGCTGAAATGCGAATACAGTAATAAATTTTTTTTAAGCAAATGAAATAAAATTATTAGATTGAATATTACAACATGATTTTATATTTACCAGAAAGTGCAATGTTAATTAAAACATTGGCTCCAAATTGTGAGAGGTATTGATTCAAGCCAAAGAAACAAATACCACAAACTAACCAGTTGAAAGTGATACAAATGGTTTTGATTCTCATATTTGGAGTTCGTAATAAATCTAGAATATTGTATGTTTTTTGCGGAGTGTCATCAGTTTCTTTTCCTGCTTCATTTTCATGCGCTTCAATAGCAGCATTTACTTTTTCTTGAGGAATTTTATTTTTTTTCGCAGCTATCTCTAATATTTTTCTAGCTTTCTTCACTTTTCCTACGGCTAAAAGCCATCGGGGAGATTCTGGAATCAACCTACAAGCAAAGATTAAACCAATTTAATGTCGTCAAATTAGTTAAATCATAAGTTCTTGGAAAAAATTTTTTCCGTCAGCAAAAGTTGAATCAGAGGAAAACCTTCGATTCACATAATTATTTTTTTCCTTATAATTTAATAGATTATATACCTTTAAATATTATTTAATTCATTAATTGCAAATATGATTAATACTTTCAAAGCTATTCGTCAAAATAGTTTTCATAAAAAAAATATTAGTTATTTACTGATAATTTTTTATCATTTTTTTATGCTGATTCCCTGTCTACAACCTTGTTGACTATAAGGATAATTAGATTTAATTCATTTAATTACCAATAGTATGATATTAAAATAAATGGAGGGACTGATACTGCTAATAAGTATCCATCCCAGGTTCCGGTTAGCCAAGAAATTCCTGACACACTCAAAAAACCAAGAATAAATGGAATATGAAATAAAACTGAGATTTTTGAGCGCCATTCAATGCCAACAATCTCCATAACTAAAAATAGAATAAATACTCTGATTAATCGATCAATTAATTAATCTATTGATAAACGTCTATTAAATAACTCCATCATAAATTGACAATCAACACAATGTTACTGAAGGGCAGGATTTAAGACGAAAACTTACATATTACGAAGCTGATAAGCATCGTTCCACCAGTTGCTATTGCGGAAATGAATTTAAACACCACAAATAATTCATACATTGGCATAAATGCACTCAGCATTCCAATCAATGATTGAACTATTACAGCGATCATCAAAGGAATTTTCCGGCCAATTCTGCAATTATTAATTACAATCAATAAGTTATTTATATCAATCGATAGAAGATCAACATGGGGTCAAGAGAACTTCGTTATTATGATAGGGTCATAGTAAATGAATTGCATTATACATATTTGTCCAGAACTTACTTATCTGCTATTATTCCGAATGACATGTTACCAATTAAAATTCCTAATTGTGTCAATAATTGTACTAAGTTGGCCAATTGTTTTCTATCACAAACCAAATTCCACTGAAACATAAAATATTTATTAATCATATTATCATTTATTACATAAAAATAATTAAATAATGAAATCATTAATTGACAAGATTTATTTTCTTAAATTTGTTTGAATTAGTTCAACTACTTTAATCTTATCTAAACCTTTTAAAATACTTAAAAGTTTTCTTGATGAAGATTAAAAGAAAATTATTGTTAGAACATTACTTGTTCTAATAATATCTTAGCATTTACAATGATATTTTAATTTGATGACGATGTTATGTTATATGATGAATTAATAATAGTAGTAATTCTATTCTATAAATTAGAAAAAAATTGTAATTCAATCCTATAGTAGAATTTTTATAATTAGAAATAGAAGTTTACCTCGCTGATGATAGTAGAATTAAAAACACTCGTATCATAGTCAAAAGATGTACATTTTTGTTCTGTATTGTTGACTATGACTTCACAAACGTTTACCACATCAGTTTTTGGATCACTTGGCGATGGAGATATGCATGTGTAATTGACTTTTGGTGCTAATACAGATATTGAAAGCTGATGCCATGCAGCAGGAAAATTGATGAGAGAAAGTGCAAGTGTAATGATTATCTGCCAAGGACCCATGACTCCCATAGCATCTTGAATTGGGTCCAAGGACTTATATTCTGCAAATGGAAAAAAACAATTATCTATTTCATTCAAATATTCAATATTATTACTTAAGATTAGTATTTATATTGAGTAATTACTTTTAAATTGAAAAAATAAAGAACCTGTTTATATTCATGATTCAGTTACAAATAATAATATCATGTTTAACCACTACACGTGTGGTTAAACCACGTGGAAATGATAGAACTTGAGGAAATTATTTTTCATTTCAAAGGAATGAATAATTTTTACAGGAAGAAATATTTTTTTTTGTAGTTTCACTGAGCAGATAATCAACGATTATTCATTTAGAATGATAACAATATTTGTTTTGTTGTAGAATATAATAAATAGTTGATAATTTTTACGTTGAAAAGAAAGTTAAATTCGACAGACCAAAAAAACCTTGATAAAGAATTTTTGGTAACTATTATAATACGTTAACCGCCAATGCATTCTGATGCAACTAAATGAACGCGTGGCGTTGGTCTGTACTGGGAACAATATTTGTGTTTATGTCCATAAATGAAAACTAAAAAATATCATTAAAAATTTAGCTTACCTTTTTTGGATTTGTCCGCCATTTTTCAAGCCCCAATTTGCTTAGAAATTCTAGTTGAAGCAGTTAGTGATTTATTCAATCCACACTTATTTGGATGGACGATCTTGCCCGTGCGAAATACACCGGTGGACTAACTGTCTACTATGTAGTCGACTATCTAAGATCTAAGTTTACAAACTTACTGTTCCTGCGTGTCGAATAGGTTTCCTTCTCTCTCGTATCGGTAAAAAATGTGATAGTTCAATTTTTTAACTATTTTCTTTTAACTCCAATATTGAAAAATAACCGAATGTTGTGTTAATAATTTATTTACTGTCTAAAAAAAAATGTTAAAAGTATGTAACTAATTTTATTGAGGTCATTAACAATTTCTCTGAATTAATTTCATTAATTCAAACTAATGTATAAAAAAAGGGATATAATCAGAAAGTTATTGAAATAAATTTTGTAACCGATCATACAATTGAAAAAATGTAGTTTACTTGAATGTTACGAGAGGTAGTGAAGCGTGAAATTCAGTCTCGTGTAGTAAATACTGAAGAATGAACGAAAGAAGGAAAAAAGTAACAAAGCCGGTTTGAGTAACGTTTACTCTGAATGAGTCTATACTTTAGAAAGAGATGATGGCATTCTGTCTAGTGTATTCTTTCTTCAAGCAATTCCGAAGAATTAAATGGTTTACAATTAATTAAGCCGCTTGTGACAATTATCAAGATAAATTACAATTGATGAACACTACATTTGTAAATATACACAATCTATACTAAAAATCTTTCTGATAAAGGAATATTTGAGTTATCATTAAACTTCAAATAAATATTTATGTGATTTTATCACTAAAAGAACGTGTTAAAGACTAGAATTATCATTACTATTTTATCTAAATTATGGAATAATTCTCTATCCATAAAACTTATTTTCGGACATGAAAAATATATATTACTTATAATGTTAAACACTTGATAAAATACTAGAATTATTTTGAATCAGGCTATTTAATCGAGTAAAAGCTTTCTTTCTAATGCATTATTTACAGAATACTTTTATATTCCCCTTCTTTCTCTCCCTCTCTCCTAGAGTCTCTTGAGAATACGATTCTTTAAGAAGACTCATAGCCTGACTAAGTATTCATTGTCCAATCGACTATATAGAGTTGGTAAATACAACTGGGTCATCATATAAAGTGTTTCAAATGAAGGAAAAAAACTCCGTTTTCTTTTATAGAGAATTACTTGTTTTTATAATTATCGTCGGTTCACATATAAAAATAAGTCTTATCGTATTGGCTATTAATCTTGTCATATTAACTATTGAATAAAAAGTTACAATTATGATTTATCGAAATAAGATTCTAATACTCTATTCGCAGATTTCTTTGATTGATTATCAACTGATTCAGAATCAGAAAGTTTTCTTTTTTTTGTATCTGAATGATTAAAACCACTTGACTCTTCCTCGAATCTTTTTTTAGCTATTTTACCGAGTTCAACGCTCTTGAGATCAGGAAATTCCTTCTGAAGATCTGCTTTATTTTTTAAATACCATTGAACAAAATTATCGCCTTTTCTTTGACTAGATCCTGTTAGATTTTGCTTCGATGATACTGGAGTTACTGTGGGGGTTTTGATTTTTTGTGGCTTCTCTGGTAAAGAGTTAAGCCCTTCTAACCCTTTATTAGCCGATGAGGTTGCCTTCTTTAGAAATGGATTACGCTTTATTATACTTGAAGTCAATGGTCTAATTTCAATTGATGCAGGTGTTTGTCTAGTGAGTGGTGTTAACGTGACATCACTATCTTGTGTCGCTTTTAATTCACTATCATCCATACCAGCAAAAATATCATCTTCCTCTTCTGCTGGTTCATCATTTTTTCTATTTTTTTCTTCTGCAATATTTTGAAGTTTTTTCACTAATGCTGTATTGCCTTTTTGTGATGCGTATCGTATCGCTAATTCAATAATATTCAATGGAGCGATATGCTGACATAAGTCAACAGCACGAAATTCTGTATTTGTTTGATGAGCGAAAGCGATAAGTGCCAATAAAGCCCTGGATTCTTCGCTAGGATTACTACCTATTTGCCACAACGGAGCTTCAGTCTTAGTCTTTTCAGATTCTAATTCACAGAGAGGTAGCGTAAGAGGTATTTCAGTCATTATCGGACGTGGAGTAGTGGGAGGATAATAACTTCCTTTACATAAAATACAGCGAATGCACCTTTCTGTTTCACTAACTGTGATAATAAAATAATTATCTAATTTCCCCTTTGAATATTTATCTGTATCAGCTGCAACTCGCCATAGATTAGACTGCCGATTAAATATTTTGATGACTCCTTCTGAATCCATGACCACTGGTGAGCCAAGATCAGATAATCCAAGCCACATTAACTTGGCAGCTGGAGAAAGTGGCACACTAAGTGTCCGACTTTTCAAGTTAATTCCACGTATTTGTATCCACATCAGATTCATCTGTTGATCTTTGGAGGCACCCACACCAGTATGGTAAGCCACAATCAGACAGTTTTTCAACGCATTCATTGCTACAACTGAACCTGGAATCGCTATGATTTCTCTTTGAATACCAGAAACCATAAATAGTCGCAAATTTCTACGAGATGTTGCTAAAGCTACAAAGTTATCTCCAGCAGCAATACATTCAGATTCTTCACCTTCTGGAAAATCAATTGTCCATTCTTTATTACCAGGACCCCATCCTTGAAGAGCTATTACAACTAGTTTACTTGTATTCCCATCATTCGACTGACAACTCAAGGCCAACGCTTCAGTAGATAATGCGGCTAAGGTGTGGTTAAGGTAATTCACTATGTGCATACTATTATGAACAGATGTATCGTGAAACTCTACTTCAATACTCGCTTCACCGCCTTCTTCATTCTGATAACATTTAACCATTCCAACATCATTGAACATCATGAAGCGTGAAAGTAAATGAGCTGGTGTTGATCCTGGTTGAAAAGGTTCTTGAAGATATATTTCTGGTAAAACTTGCTTTGATTCTTTTATATTTTCTGTTGTATCACTAGTAACACTTTTCTGATCATCATCAAAGTTGACAGACGTTTTTATTTTATTTAATGAAATTACATTTTCTCCGTCGTCATCGTCATCATCTTCAGGAAATAAATTATCATCAATAGCATGACCATTTTCAATTGGTTCTGCTTCAGTACTTTCGGTAGATACATCGTTGCTAACAGTGACACAACCTAATTGACCTAAACTGTCACAAAATGCTATCTCTACAGGTTTTTTTAGATTCCAAGCTATAGCAGTAACTTTGACATTTTGTGGATGCTCTGTGTAACCTATCACTTGTTGAATCTGCGTATCCCAAACGACGATTTCACCAATAACTGAACAAGCAGCTAATCTAGATCCACATTCAGAATATTTACATATATTTAATTCTGCTTTTAAGTTAGGGCACTTTAATTTGTTAATTTCTTTCCATGTTTCTCTTTGAATAATTATTACATCTTTACCATGAGGATATGCTAAGGTACTTCCATCTTTACAATTAAACGAAGGTGTACAAAGAGCTTTGGCCGTGAAAAAAGAATTACATTTAGGAACAATATTATTCCACGTATGAATTGATTTTTTTTCTTTGATATTCCATACTTTTATACTTCCATCAGCACTAGAAGAAGCAACAAATTCTTCCTTTGGATCTAACGATAATCCTAGGATAGGAGCTTCGTGACCTTCAAGATCAGTGCAATCATGTGTTTCGATGTTATTCACTTTGATTCTCCAGTTGCATGATCCAGAAACAATTAAATTACTGTTTCTCCTAGTATCTAAAGCTGATACAGCAGAATCAAACCTTGCAACGATTCCTTCACGATCTAAATTAGGATATGTAAGTATTTGAATTGTATTATTATCATTACCCACATAAATGTTATTATTTTTAGCGATACACGCAATTGCTTGCTCAGCAACACAAACTGCAGATGGGTCATCATCCATCAAATCAACCCAAAATCTTGCGTCACCGTCCGCTCCACATGTTATAAATCCACCTCTAAAATAACAATGTAATTAAACTCATTTGATTTTTACACATAACAAATATTTAACTAAGTAGTAAATATATAATAATTATAAATCAATCATCAATAATAAATAGAACAAAAAATTGTATTCGATATTGAATTAATTTACTTACTTTTCCCCCGTAAAATAACAAACGTCTGTATGACCATCTGAATGAGCATATCTAGTATGTTGAATTTTTAAAGCCATCGTATTAATGTTTTAACTTTTTTTTTACAATAAAAACCTCTTTTAGAGCATTTAAAGAATCAATTTATTCTAAATAACACGCAATGTTTATCACTCTCAGCGCATGCTGCACTTTTTCTAACCTAACTGACTGATTTTGGCGCGCATCTTGGCGCTACAAATCCATTTTCTAAGAAAGTGACTATAGCGCCATCTAAAGTTATAAGCACAGTTTCTTTCGAGTATGTACCTACAGATAAAATAAACAATCAATTTATCGATAACTGGTATATGTCATGTGTCAAATTCAATTGATAAAAAAGTTTTATCTATTTATACACGCTGGTGTGCGTTGGTCTGTGTTGACAAGAGCGTCTGTCATTGTTTCCTGAGGTGTTTTGACACAAAGAAACAAACGCAGTACGCACTGAAAATTTAAAATCTCATTGTCGTGATGAATCACTGTCGATTATACTTAGTATCTAGTAGTCACTGGAAGCTGTCAGTAAAGTAATAAAAATATTATTATCAAAAATCAAGTAAATTTCATAATTTACAAGTGGAGCTCAAAATTTTGGAAAATGTGGAAGCCTTTAGAGCCTGGAAGTTCTCCTGTAGATTGGTGTGAAGGAAATTACAGCATATCACCAGATATAGCAGAATTTATGAATACTGTTGGTATATTTTTATTCTAAACATTACTTGTTTATATCAAATTAGAATTGAAGTTTTATTGTTTCTTAATTGTTGATATAAGATTCTGGATATTTCTATAGTAAATATATACTTACTTATAAAGAATCTAAAAAATTATCACAAGTTTCGATCAAAGATTATTATGATATTGATAATTAAAAATAATAATGATATCATTATGATTGGTGCAACAGTAAAGCTTTTAACGTTCTCAATTATTCATTATTTGTTTTTGTAGTTTAGCAATGTCGTCTTTTTATTACTTCCACCAGTACTGATGCATTTATTCAAGGACTATGGAAGATTTGTTAATCCAGCTATACATATTATTTGGTTCTTGTTGATGGTTGTTGGACTTAGCAGCGCATATTTTCATGCAACATTATCTCTAATAGGTAAATTTTTATTATGTTTCATTAAATGTTTAAACAATTTTTTTACCCTTAAATACAAATTCTATCTTAATTTTCAGGCCAATTATTGGATGAATTAGCAATTTTATGGGTTTATATGGCTGGATTATGTTTATTTTTCCCCCGAAGATATTTTCCAAACGTCTTCAGGAATAACAGAAAACTATTTTCTATGTTCGTTGTTTTGCCAACATTGATAGCTACTGGTTTAGCTATTGTACATCCAGTAGCAAACGCATTTGCTTTGATGTGTCTAGCTATTCCAGCATTTGGTTTTATGATTATTGAACTCAGGAGGTAAAATATTTCAAATATATTAAACCGTCTGAAGTAGTATTATGAATTTCATTTTATTATTTATTTTTTCTACTGTATTGTTTTTCAGAACAAAATCAATGAGAGTCTATCGATTGGGTGTAAGATGTGGGGCTGTTTGGGTACTAGCAGTGGCTTGTTGGCTAAATGATCGTTTGTTTTGCGACACTTGGATGAATTTAAATTTTCCATATCTTCATGCCCTCTGGCATTTATTAATTTTTATCGCTAGCTACACAGCAGCAGTTTTATTTGCATATTTTGCTGTAGCAGAAGAGAAACCTCAGCAATCAGCAGTACTGAAGTATTGGCCAAAAAATGATTTTGAACTTGGAATTCCTTATGTAACAATTAAATGTTACATTCGGGCAGATAATAATACAAATATATAAACTATAATTTTTTATTAACAGAGAATGATTCATAGTGTCAATACCATGTCTTGTAAACATTTTAATCCTAAAATATTAAGTCTGTGATTTAATTTCTAATCAACGTTATTCACAGATACATTTATACTATGTTTAATTGACTTATCATAAATATTAATGAATTTTTTATATTAGAAATTTTCTATAATTTCTATGAGTAAATTTATTTTATATTATTAATTAATAGAAAGTGATGTTATTGATTTATTGAAATGTGCGAAGATATATGATAAAGTCTGTATATTTGTGATAAAATTCCAAATGTTAATTAAGTACTTAATTAAATCTCTTGAATAGAGAAATTCTTAAAAATTTTATTTATAAAAGGTTGTTAAGCTCAAAGTATCATGTTAGATTTATGTATAAGTTTAATACGTATGTGTTGTGAAAATAAAATCATTCGAACAACATAAAAATTTGTATTATTTTTTTAAATAACAATTATTTATTTTAGAATTGATTGTTTACATTTTCGTTTTTGGCGCAAAAATATTTTTGCATGCGCGTTATTTATTTTTCATTGTATCAAGAGCGCAGCTAATTGAATTAAACGCTTTTAGCGCTGCATGGTAGCTGAATTATCAACTAATATAATAGTACATCAAAAAATAGAAAAATAACTCGAGATTGTTGTTTTGTATGTAATAATTAGACGTATCAAGTGTTTTATATCAAGATAATTACCTACATAGCATAGATTCAATTCTTTACATGATTTTATACTGCTATTTTAATAAATTTTTTTCATTATTTCCGTTTTCCAGTAAAAATAGATGAAAAAACGATCTACTGAACCTTAGGATCTGGAATAGATCTTATTTAATTGTAGTAAACAAATAAAATATACGTAATGTCATTAGATCAAACTGTTTGTGAAGGTAATATGATGATTTAATTATCAATTATTGTATAACGATATATTGTTTCAAAAATTCTAGTCATTAGAAATATATTACTTGATCGTATTCATTTATATCAGTTTTATACGTAGAATATAATAATTTTGGCTAGATTATTGCAACATGTTGGTGTTTATTTTATTTGTGTAGATCTCAAAGCTTTCGAAAGGAGGCTTACTGAAGTTATTGCTAGTTTACAACCTTCTACTCTACGATGGAGAAGTATGTATAAGAAGTATTCATCTTTCTATTAGATTTTAACATAAAGAATATTTTCAACTAATATTTGTTTTTGTTTCCAGTACTCCTAGGATTTATTTCAGTTTGTACAGCAGTAGGTGCTTGGCATTGGTTAACAGATCCAAACACATCAGCTGTGTCATTTACACAGAGCCTTTATAATCATCCTATTTTTACATTAGCAAGTATTTTACTAGGTATTATCTAATTTTTGTCAAGTTTATGTTATATTAAAGATTTCTTTTATTGTTTATACTCATTTTTAATGAAATTTATTTTTATTTTAGTGATATTATTTATGATGGGTGTTCATGGAAGAGTGATAGCACCTAGTATCATAACTCAACGAGCTCGAAGTGTTTTAAGAGACTTTAATATGAGCTGTGATGACACGGGAAAATTGATTCTCAAACCTACAAGACCTCCTCAACCACATGAAATTTGAAGAAAAATATTTTTAAAGAAATAGCAAATTAAATGAATGAATGAATAAAAGAATAAAATGTTTTTTAACATTATTCGTGTTGAAATTTGTACGTACACCATCATAATTATGCGATTGTAGAACTGAATATACCGTTCAATTCAAAAGATAATATATATCCAAAAAATTATATCAATTACTAAATTTCCTTCAAGATCAATTGACAGTACCCAAATATTCAATATGAATGAAAAAATATTTTTAAAATGATAAAATTTTGTGATTCTAAAATTCTATACTTCTCATAAACATGTGATTCGATAAATTTTAATGGATGTATGACGTAATATAAATGTTGATTATAAAATAGACATCAGTATTTTTATGTATAACGTTTATTTAAAACTCCATTCTTTGTATAATACCATGTAAGAAGCAATACGTCGGATGTTTATGTGATTACTTTTCGGATAATAATAATTAAAAATCATGAACAAAGTAAAACTAATGATAAATAGTTAAATAAGTCGTTTCTTTGTCTTTTTTCGATGTTCAACTCAAAGTCTAAAATATTAACCTATTTTAAAATTATGTTAAATTATGAGAAAACTTGAATTAACTCAACTATTAGGTATATTATTTACAAGGTAAAGTTTTACAGTTTTTATGGTAAAATGTACAATTTTAATTTGACAATAATACGCAGATAAAATATGTTGTTAATTAAATGAAAGATAACCATTAATTTTTAATTGAAATATAACTAAGGTATATTTCGTACGTAAATCGTAAACGTACAAGCATATTTAACTAAATTTATATCAACGAATTTCTCCGAAGGTACAATTTATTATAAAATAAAACTTATCTGTTGCATTGCTAAAAGATACAATGCAGTGCGCTTGACCAATACAGCATTTATAAGCATTGGCAATCATTAAAAATACATCTTCTGCAAATAGATTATTAAATTTATTTTTATAACTGTCGTAGGAAGCTTCGTAGATTCATTTCGAATCAAATTTGTTTACTTTTTAAACATCACAGCTTCTTGAGGAAGTATTCACCGTATGCTGAATTATTTGTAGATTATCGTCGATGACATTTTTTTTTGTTTCATTCATGTTCTGTTTTACAAAATGTCAGCAACTCGATTAAATTTGACAATGATTTAATTATTACCCCTTTGAACACTTAAATGGGATCGAGTTAATGCAGTGAAAAAAGATCCCCTGCTGATGGCAGAGGTGCGAGACCACCAGTCACATCAGGTAATTGTGTTAAATCAGGTAAATTCGAAATATGAGATTTTACTTCAGCTCGAACAGCACAAACCTTTTTTAATTTTTCTTTGTAGTCCTGAAAAAACATGTAATAAGTATTTCAATGATATATTCATACTTTTATTGATAAGTAATTCAAAATGTTGAATAAAGTTTAAAAGATTCTTACTTCTAGTGTTGTTTGTGCCTGCTGTAACAATTGTCGTTGAGCTAGTGTGTAATCCCTAAGCATAGTAAGAAGTCGTCGTCTATCCTCCATTTCAGCTTGTAAACGTCCATTATAATCAGCTAAAAGAGCTGCAGCCTCATTAACAGCAATACTCAGTTGATCTGCTGATGCTCTATCAGCAAGATTGGCCAGAAGAGATACTTCTGATACTTCTGGGGGTAGAGAAGCAATTCTTTCTCTTACACTGGCGTCTGATGATGCTGTATTTTCTAAATCCTAAAATAAATTCATAGAGTAATTACAAAAATATTACAATAAAATTTCTAAAATATTTAGAGTATTATAGTACAGTAAAGCCCATAAATTGATTAATTCCATTTATTTTCTGTACATAGTTCTACATTTTTTTCTTTGGTTTTCTTCATCATTAAAAATAAATATCACAGCGTCTAGCAGTTAATACATATTTAATACTGAATGGATGGTTTTTATTTATTTATGGCATAAGATATCTAAGTATATTAAAGTGTTTTTTAATTTAAAAGTGTTTCTTAAATAAAAATCAGTCTTTTTTTTAAATATGGAGAGTATATACAGTCAATAATGTGAATCTTGGAAATCAATTATTTTATTGAGTATGAATAATACCATTAAGGCTTTGATTAATTCTTCTGTTTCTGGTGGATCTCCAGCTGGTGTTCTTGGACTTAACGTAACATGTAGCTCTTTGGTACCATCAACTTCCACTTCTGTTTCAGATTTTTTTCTTTCTTTTTTATCAACTTTTGGAGTAGATGACTGTAAAATTGAAGAAAAATTAGTTTAAATCAAACTAACTGATAAATTATATGATAATGCAAATAAATGAATGTACTTTTACTTTTGTAGGCTTGTCATTTTCAACCTTTAGCTTTTTTCTAGGTGGCGGAGATCCAGGTTCTTTAACTGGATCATTGACGGAATCTAAAGCTGCTTTAAACTCAGCTATTTGGGATTTTTCATAAACACCTCGCTCTTCCCAAATTTGTAGTAACCTATTTAATCGCTCTCTAGTCTTTTCATCAAAACCCTTCATGTGCTCAAAAGCTTTTGGTAAAAAACTTTCAAATTCTTTACCGAATTCTGGCCCCTTTTTTTTACTGTTTTGAATAACATCATTTGCTAGATACATAAACATTAATTTACGGTTATCCTTAGCTGAAACAAAAAATATATTTATGAAACATTGATTATCCTAACCTGCAATTTAGGGATGATTGAGAGTCAATGCAAATTTAATAATCATTGAACATAAAATTATTATTAACACTATAATGAGCTCCAAAATAATAAGATTTTAATGCAATTAAAGACATAATTGTAAGTTTAAAACCATAATTGATAAAAAAAAGTGAAAAAAACTTACATTTACACATTTCTCTGAACCACACTTTCACGATTGTTCCATGATGCTTTCTGTGGTGAATTAACCATAACGATAAAGTTTGAATACTTTGTTGTGATGGATTAAGGTCCATAAGTTTTTTAACTAACGCTCCTTCAGTAAATCCAGCCATTTCGCAAATAAAACTTGATTTTACTACACAATTGTGCAGCACACAACACGACACTGTGAGTTATACACATGTGCGTGTATAACAACGTATTTTCTTGTATAACTGTATATATAACGCTTACAATTACGTAGGAAAAACTACTGTTACATGCATTGCATCTACTTTACCTACTCATGGTAAACAATTTCATATAGTTGATAAAATATAAACTCATTTTTATCGACGGGTAGTCAACAATTAAAAATTCGAATAAATGTATTTGAAATTGATTGTTCAATTTTTCAATAATTTTATAATGTTAAATCATTAAATAGTAAGAAATTAAAGTTAAAAATGTGATAAATTTTTCATGTTCGTTAGTTATGTTCACATTTTTTTTCAGCTAAAATAATCAATTAGTCATGGAAAAACATTGGATGCTTCACTTGCAGTGATTCAGAGAACTTGAACATATATTTCATTCTATAAAATATAATTTATAGTTTTATGAATTAACTGAGAACTACAAAAATTAATTATTCTTGCCAGGTTTTTCGAGTTAAGCTCAATAAAATTAATTATTCTTTTTAGAGTTCCTATGCTCAACGACCCTGTGTGGGTTTAATCCTTAAATGGTAATCCTTTATCAACTTTACTTAGAAAAACCAATGTTTTATTTTTTATAATAAAATAATAATAAAGTAAATTAATTTTTTTCTTTGATAGTGACATATATGAAAAAAATGATTACTTCATTTTTGCCAGCCATAAAATTATCCAATTTTTCATACTTTGAAATGAAGTTTCTATTATTAGAATAATTTACTTTTGTTTATTAAAAGATAAAATTTTTTTTTTATTTTTAAAAAGTTTTTCTTGTGAATAATAACATTTGTGTATGCTCAGCTCGTAGATGCATCAATATTTGTACATTGAGTTCATTAAAACGTTAATTTGCTGAATATTTCAATTAAATTCTGTAACAAAATGAAAGAGAAACACGGGAATAATTAATAATGAACATAGGCATGGAAATAGTCAACATAAATATTCAAATAATTCAATTTTAATTAGAGTGTATCATTTAAAAAATAATTCTCGTTCAATTTATAATAAAGATTCAATTATCCTTTGCTAGAATTGGTTCAACCTGACGACTGTAACCTAAGGCCAGTATCGATGAATATTGTATTGACACGTCTCGTAGCTAACACTTCCAGTAGCTATTTTAGATCTTACCTTGTCTTTAATTTTAGAAAATTCAGCTAAATTACAATAGTCTCTAGATTTCAAGGAAGATAAGAATAAAATGGCAGTCATATAAATTTAGTAGCACCAAAGTCATGAGACATTTTATCTGACCTGAAAAATACTTGAGATCAAGGTTTCCAAGTATGAAGAATGATTTGAACACAAACATCAATATTGAAAATATTTACAAAAATTGCTCGAAAATCTTCTGTTAAATATCACCGAATTTTCTGGTCTTTATGAAATTCTCAATAACCAAGCACTTAATCTAATGGATTTGATAAATAAATTGCACAATACATGGTAAATGCAATACAATCATGATCTGAAAAGGAATAGAAGCACAATGAAATTGTCTACCTTTTAAAATTCTCATAATACAGTCGACCTTGGTATGTCGCACCAGAGCCAACTTAGCTGACATTCAAAAGTGTCTCCGGTGACTGAATAGATTTGTTGAAGATATACAAGTAAAATGGCAAGAAATGAAATAAAGAATGAATGAATAAAATGTGAGAAGAAGAAACGTGGACAGGTAGATTAAGCTTTCCAAGCTCTTACCAAAGTGTAAGTCTCTGCAGTATAAAAGAGAGACAAGAAGATGGAGCAATACGTCGGCTAGTATACCTGGCTTCACTACTAGGTCGGGTGTCTTATTGCTGCTGGATCCGCAATTCCTGCAGAGTACCTGCGGAAACACTGCTGTTAGCTAAATGGCTATGACTTGTCGCATTGCCGATGAGAGAGTGCATCGCAAGAATTTTATTTATAATTTTCATTAAGCTGTCAGTGATACCAGCAGCTCTGTGGATTTTATTTGGATGATTCTTTTCTAATTGAATCAACCAATATTACAGTTGAATGGATTTTATTTTGTAAACAGACCTTTTGAAATGACATTTAAATGAATTAATATTCATCAATAAATAAATACAGGCTGATTAATCTGTCTAATAGAATTTATTAAGCGTGAGTAATGTGTTCATTGAAAAGTAAAATTTAAGCATTTGTAGAACCATTATGCCATCAACATATAGTTGAAACAGCTCTTGCTTGTGAATCTAATTAAGAGAGAAATGGTTGGTAGTTATATGTATAACCGCGAAATGGTGCAAGAGCTTCTTGATTAGGCTATGGCTCGGTTGGTCTATGTCCTTTTCTACTTCGTCGTGGAAACTTTGTTTGGAACCCACCTTACGCTTTTCATTATTAATTCCGCCCATGGCAGTTTCCTTTAATTACACCCCTTGGGCATGCAACTAACCTAACGGTAGTATTTTCACCCTGACATTGCATTCCATTTTACTTGCACACAATGCGCCAGAAATACTCCATTTTCCATAACTTCTCTCATATATATTTTTATCAGTACAGTAAATCATAAATATTTTCCAATCTAATTAGATAAGTTATCTTTTTAATTGATTTGTTTCAATGGGATCTTTTTCTACCAGTTACTTTTCTTTTCTTTCTTTATCATTTTTTTTTAATCAATTACTCTCTCACTCGACGAAAATCTAGCACACGACATAAATGGAAAGCTAACGTCGACATGACAGTCTAATAACGTTTGTCTGTCATACTTTCAACGTTCTGTAATTGAATTTTTGTATCTAACTGCATTGAGTATATAAAAAAAAAGAAGAAAAAACGATATATTTATTTTCTTGTTTGCACTAATATTCTACATGGGTTACGTATATTACCTTCTCTCTTTTTCCCTGCAACGTTTAGTTTGTTACTTTCACACTGTATATCCTTTCACCCCTGTTTTTGTTGTTCTATGAAACTAGTGTAGCGTTCGTCCGTCGTCCAACATATCACACGAAAGCCCATTTCCCATTTCTATTGTTTCTCAGCATACCCACTGATTTTTCTCCCGTAATATTCTCCCATGTTCCCTCTATCACCTTTTTCTATTCTCTACTTTGCTACACACGCACTCATTTTTTTCCAGCTATCCTCATTTTTTTTCTACCATCTCTTCCACCTTTTACTCTTTCTTGTTGCGTCGTCTAAATTCTCAATTTTTGTTTGTCAATTTTTTTTTGTAGTTTTCTTTTTTTTTTCATTCATGATTTTCAATTCCGTCATCACCTTCCTCTCATCTTCTTTGGACTTTCGATATTATTTTTCCCTTTGTATTTTCCGCTTCAAATTAATTTTTTGCAGTACTTTATTTTATTTTTTGTCAGCTTTGTAATTATTTCTCTGTTCTCCACCTGAAATAAAAATAAAATTATAGTAAGAAAAATATTGCACTAAAAGATATGGAAAAAAATATTTACCTACTGCTACAGATCAAGACTCTGCTACTACAGGAGTCTCTTCCTATATTATTGTAGATGCATCGATGTTTTTTAGTTGAAACAAATTTTCCTTTTGTTACAGTTGTAGACTCTGTCTGCTGCACGATAGATTTCCCTATAGACATTCCAAAAATTCACATCGATGTAAAGACCTAGTTCAGATCTGTTTTAATAACTAAATCTTTCTTTTTAATAATTAAAGTCGATTAAGTGATATCAATAAAATATTTTTTAAAATATATAATTTAACAAAAACAACAAATAAATTGGCAGTATTAACAATAAAAAACTGGCATTCGTTTAATCCGGAAGTTTGAACGATAAAAAAAATAGAGAGGAAACCAGAGGAATAGAGGTAGTGAAATTCGTGTTGAATTGGTGGAAAAGTGTTCGAGATGTCGTATTGTGGTAGCACCCATATAATCATACCTCTCTCTATCGAAATATTGAATATTTTTCAACTAGCAAAATTGTTCATAGCAATTCAAGCAATGCTCGAATTATTACATAACTGATGTTCACACACAAAGGCGAATTCTTGGCACAAAAATTGGCGTAAAGTATGACTGAAAGAAAATGTTCAGAAATTGTGTCCCAAAGTGAGACGTATTCGGGTTAGCCAGGCCTTCCGGCGATTCTGATTCTACACCCTCGATTTTCCATTTTTCCTATAAAATATATCTCCACTCTCTAGATATATACGGTTCATTTCGTCTGTCATATTCGATTCTGATAAGTAACTGAGGGTCGGTAACGATATGTTTGATATTATTTCAGAAATATGCCAATTTAAATAACAAAGTCTGTCAACGTGTTTTTATTTAGTTGTTGATAGTTAAGTAAGATCTAGAAACTCATATTATTGAAGAATGACACATCTCATACTCTAGCAAAATGGTTATATGAAATCCGCATACACCATCCACCAGAAAGGCCGTCTAAATTGCAAAATTTCCGCACTGCCAGCATCATATTTCCTACCCTCTTTCCCTACTACATCAGAGTCTTTTAATCCCAACGTTGTCGTAGAAATTCCGCTAGACCTTCCCATGCGTATAATAAAAAATTATGTAAAAAAAGAACCACTGAAAAATGTAAGATGAATGTCTAAATATTTATTAATCACTGTAGTTTAACTTGATATAGATTATGATAGAAGATTATTGCTAAAGTCTTGTAATATTTAAGCTATATGCTTCATTATAAACTATGTGATGAAAATAAATTAACATTTACCTGAATAAAAATAAATAACTCTTTCAACTTTTTGCGGTATGTATTGATATTTTCGAACTATGAACATATCAGTGCATTTCTTTTTTCTATATAAAAGTTTGAAGCCTCTTTAGCCTAAAGCAATGAATGTATGGAAACTTGTAGAGCTGTAGGATACATGCATAAGCCATTTCCTGAGAAGAAAATTTTTTTGTAATAGAAACGATTACGTTATCTGATTTTCTAAATAGATTTTCGTAGCTCGACATTCCTATCGAGTTTTATTTTGCAATTTATTTTTTTAAATTCACTTATGATTTAATGTAGTAAGGAAAATTGTATAAAATTTTATTATAAAAGCTATATATTATTAAAAAAATATTATTGCAAAAATGTGTTAGTATAACAAAGAAGATATACTATTTTTATTTAAAAATGTTTAATAGTTAAATTCAATTTTACAATATATTTTTTTTCTATATATAAATAATTAATAATTATTCAGCTTAAATATTACTCTATAAAATTATTTAAAAAACGAAGATTGATTTAATATAAAGCAATGATTTATTAACTATTAGTAAGATCAAGTTGGCACAAAAAACCCTCCTAAATAAATGATTTATTTCCCACAACAACGATATTTCTTTCATCATATTTGAATGTACAATTTATCGACTATAATCGAAAATGATTAATTCAAAAAAAATATTTATGTAACCACAATGAGGACAAGTGAATGAAAATAGAATAAATTTAGTATGTTAATTTTGATTGATAGTCTAATTAATTACCTCAAAAGTACCGACAGGGAAATTCGTGCCATCTCACTCAGCTGAATGATAAGAAGCCGATTGCAGTAGCTTTAAAAAAGAAGTATCAAGCTCTTTGGTTTCCCAATGACACCTTCCCGAAGTGGCCTCGCCTACTTTTCCAGCACTTGTTCATCCCTTTTACCTAGTGGATCGTCACGTCGGCCTTGTTACTTGGTACGACATGAAAAAAGGAACAAAAAATGGCAGTGGTGTAGACAAACGAAAAGACAAAGAAATTGAAAAAGACAGAAAGCAGAAATGTATAGTACATCATTTTCACCTGTCTCTTGTGATGCCAAAAGCTCCTCCTCACAACTGTGTTATCATCTATTCGTCATCTTCCTTCTCCTATATTTCATCCTTTAAAGTCTGCCGGCCTTTGCCAAGGATTAGCCCTTGATATTTTTTTTTCTGTCGACTGTCTGCGCACAACGACGATCTGCTGTTACAAAATCGACCAATAGACATGTAGGAAAAATCAATCTTGTCCAAGATGGTGAAACGATTTCGTGGGATCTAGAAGTAGACAAGAAACATAACTTTTCTTATATGCACATTATGCAGATTACCAACATGAAACACTTTTTCAAGTATGTAGACGACATATGTAACATACGTACATTTTTTATTATACCACTTACCATAATTGTTATGAGTTATAAGAAAATATAAACATCAATTTAAATAAATACTTCAAAGTAATAATTTATTTCTTATTTTCAAAATTCTATTCAGGTAAATATTGAATTCCCCCAATTTTTCATTATTCAAAATAAAATAAAATTGCATTTATTAATCCAAGTTTTTTTTACAAAAATGACTTTGCCAACAATTTATATACAATTTCAATGAAGAAGAAATAACAGTTCTAGGTACAGGAAGAGCAGTTACAGCAAACCAAAAGTTGGAACAAAACCAGAAAGCAAGATCAGAGTCTGGTTAGAAGACAATTAGAAAATTTAATTATCAATTGTATCTTAAATGGTCTTGGTTAAATAGAGAATTTTTTCCAGCTAATATAAAACATTTTTTATTCCAACAAATTAACAGTTTGTTTGAAAATTATTTTAGCCAGTTTAATCATATTAAATGGAATGAAGTCAAATACATTATCAACACCTTTGAAATATGATTGAAGATAAATAAAAGTAATAATAGTAGGAGATTTGGTGTATATGATGGTTAAAGGGAAAGAAGAAGACTCAAGTGTAGCTGTTTATCATGCAGTGAAACTCTCTAGCACCCACTGTGCCACATTGGCATGTTATTGACATTATTAAGCTAACGTTTCGTATAAATGTATAGAACTAGTATATAATAAAGTAAATAAATTTTCAAACTATACAAATATTCATCAATGTACATGTTTTTGAGCATACAGTCATTTTAGTTACGATTTACATTAAGCTATTTCGATATATACTCAAAGCTGCTGTCTGCATGCCAATGAAGTAATTTCGAAGCGAGAATATATTTTGAAATTGTATCTATTCTGATAGTTCAACAGCGTTGCAACTCATACTTTAATATAGAGACCATATTTTCCACATTTATCGATACAGGCCGAGACAACGGATGCTTGAGATATTTGAGATGCAGGCGCACCACTTGCAGAAAATACTCAGTTCTATTTTATGCAAAGTATTTGTTACAAAATAAGATGAAAAAACTATCCGTGTCAAATATTCTTGATAGAATTATCCTAATATCGTACTTATTATCTTTATGAGTGTCATTATTATTATCAGATTAGATACTTTTTGTTCTAGTAAATATCGATAATGGAAGAATCTTTTTAAGATGTTGATCTTTAACCGACCTTAGCATATCTCCATGCGATGTTATTTTTTTATGAATAGACATCATCATTGACATAATCGTTTGTGTAACATTGATAAGGTGTTGTGATGCCAATCAAACTCTTCATGAATCCATGATGATATCATAGGGTAAAAATCCCCTTTCTACAAATATCATGTCTTTGTAGCCTCTAGCACTTTATTCGATGGTCGTTGAGTTTTCTTGATGGTTATCAACGCTTTATTACCCGCGTCAGAAAACTTGCTAGCATTTGTCTGGCTGCTGGCGTTGACAGGTTTCCTCCAGGCGTTCCTCCAAAATTGATGTCTGTAGAAGGCAGATGAATGCTTTGGGAATACGTAATTCGATCTGAGATTTATGTTTGAGATCCTCCAGATTCCTAAGACCCTGTGTACCTGTAATATATCACACACAGAACAATTAGATCAATGAATTGTTCCAATTTATTAAATAAATATTCATGATAAGCACATTTATGAAATATAAGCTAGAACTAATAACATAATGCTCCCCAATCTCTACTTATGTTCTTACGTTGCTTGACTTTTTCCGACTTCTTTCCAAAGAAGATGAGAAATAATAAAAGCCTTAAAACTAAAATAAAAAGTTATGATTTTATTGATCGCATATACAGTTGTTTTTCTACTTTTATTACCCAATTATCAATAAATACGTATAGTCCACGTAACAATAACCTACAGTAGGACCATAATCAACCAAATTTATATGAGTTTTGTTGGTCGTTTCTTTGGCCATTTTTGTGTAATCCTCAAATGGCCTACAGCCAGCCATTTTACCACAATCTTACCACACAAAACTTGAGGATCACATACCTTCTCACTATCTTTCTTCAGTAGCTATAGTAATACTTGAATTTTTCCCAATGAAACCACACAAAAATCAAGAAATTTTCAACTCGACAAATGATACTGCATTGAAACACCAAAAAGAAGCTTTGTAGCTAGGTTTGAAGATTAAAGATTCTTTGTAATTGCGCATTGATATACTCTATGCTTTATAGGCTTTCAAAAACCATAAGCATTACTTCAGATAATAGCTTTTGACAATGAACTGATTTTTTTTTAAAGTGCAGAATAAAATCAATTGATTAATACAGTATTGAATATAAAATTTTTTTGAAGAGAATCAATTCAAAAAGAGTATTTGGAAAGAATATTCTGATAGACATGAAAGAATTAATTCTAGGTTTTCTTTCACATTAGAAACATTATAGACATTGAATTGATGATAATACAATCAGTTTCATCAGTTGCTTTTATTTTTTATTTTTCGTTTCAACAAATTTTTTTTTCCCCGTACACATCTTGACTTTCTTATTCAGTGCTTAAGTTGTCTCGGTTTGTGCCTCTAGCGTTCTCCCTGATTGGATTTTCATCGCGACCGCTTGCATAAAGCATCTCGTTTTACCTCGTCTGGCAGAGAGAGGGTTCACTTTTGTACTGTCTACTCTTTTTTTATTTTCAACTTTTTTAGTTTACTATATCTCACACAGCTCGATTCTCTCTTTACTACCAGCTCTTTTCTGCTCACCTCGACCGTCTTTCTCATCTGGGTCGGCAGCTGATCATCATATACATATATATCTGCATCTATACTTATATTTCGTAGTGCTCTCGTCCTTATTTGCCATCAATGTAAAACTAGAGCAATTGGTTGCCTTTACACTAACGAGTTTCTACATGTTTTATTGAATTATTCTCACTTATCCTCACCAATGGAATGATATAATATGATTGATCAATCAATATCATCAGCAGTAGAAGTTACAAACAGAAATATTATTTAGCTAAAATCAATTATAAGAGTAAATAAAAAAAAGGAATAAAAAAGTATCAGAGTACAATGTGTTCATCTTTTTTTTTTCTTTCTATTGAATTTCCCAATCCTCTTGGTGAAGTCCTCAAGCGTTGAGAGGACAAAACCAAGTTAACAAGTTCCAGTTTAACGATGCACGACCTATGGGCGTAGAGCTTGGCACTTGGAGAAAGCCGTTCTTGGAGTCCTCGTGAAGATGAGTTTCTACGTTACATTGAGGCTGCTACAGTTAACAAAATGAACCAGCTGGTCTTGCCCTATTTGAGCTTAGCCAATCTAGATATGTGTGAGTACTCCATGTACCTGGCGTTGTGTATGTTCACCAACTACTACTTGGAGCTTTTGGGGTTTTTTCAACAGTGCTAGAAGTCTCATTTCAGGAAATTGAACTGGTTTTATTGGTTAATAACAAGTAGAACTTTCAACTCATATGATTGCATTTTCAATAATTGTCTTTTCTCGTATACACTCTCATGAAAATTAGAGAATCACAATAGGAATGTTGAATTTTTTCACACTGATTTTTAAAATCTGTAGCTATGAAAAAGTCATTGGATTTTATGGTTGAAATAATCATTTTTATTTCAGGTTTTTTTATTTAGCTATTTTTACAGACATCAGAAATGTCAAGAATAAAAAAGAAAAAACCAATAGAGTCATTATAATCATCAGTTCCAGGTTTAAAAGAATCAATAAAGAAAGTTATAAAAGATGATTACCTAATGATCTAAGTCAATCTTATGTTAATAGAATATTTGTACAGAGTGGTAAAGTATATTAAAAGATTGGTTGAATATCTCTACCAGTTTTATTTACCGTTGAATTACCAAGTAATTAAATTGTCATCGGTCTTAGGTTGAAACAAATACAACTGAACGTGTCTTAAGTTGTTGATTCAATCCTATTATAGCTGTATCTGTATATGTAGTATGAAAAATCAAAGACAAAGATGCTGCATAGTGCAATAACAGCGACCTTTTCTCAAGAAAGCTGACTCAGCAATTGCTCGTGTTGTGCAGAAACTACCAAGAAACTTTCAGTTAACAAGATCGCATTTAACAATGCAACACTGACGAGTATTGCATCTAGTATATTTCAACCTCCTACTTATTTATGTTTCTGGTAAGCATTCATCTACAACTCAAATTTTATTAAAATCTTTTTTATTATTTATTTCCTCTGATAGAGAAATTTTATCATCAAAACAGAATTCCAAAATTACTAATATTATACATAAATTTTCATTGATGAGATTATATTTATAAATGATTTGTAAGTAATGAAGTTTTCAACACTTGTTGGTTACATATATGACATATTTTTACAAAATTATTAAACTTTGGAATAACTTTTAATTAAATTTTTTCGGAATTAATTAATAATAATTATATATTAATTGAGAAATGTATTTTGATTTTCCAATTATGAAATAACTAAAGAGATTATTAAATAATTATTTATGCGAGAAGAGGTATTTTGACAAAAACCTTTAATAGACATGTCTAGAAAAAACATTGAAAAGCAAACCACAACATCTACGTGAGGTAAAAGATCGTGTAAAAGTGTTGTTCATCACTCAACGTGTTAATGGAAAAAATTAAAATTCAACTTGATCTTTATTATTCTTTATATAATATTTTTATCACTTTTGTTTATTATTAACACTCTATAAGAGTTTGAAAAATTATCTACATATCTAAAGTCAAAAGAGTCATTGTCATCAGCAAGGAAATAAAATAGATAATTAAATTCATAAAACGTTTTATGAATTTGAAAAGGATGTAATTTTATTAAAGAGATTTTATATCATCATTGTGTTTAGGTAATGAATATTTTCTTTGTTAAATCCAGCATTATTTTGATGGAAAAAAATCCAACGTTATGCTGAAATATCGTTGAAATATTTATAATATGCATAATAAATAGGTAAAATCGATAAAGTTTTTGTGTAAATAAAAAAATCGTATTTCATAAAGGAAAAATTGTAACAGTCATAACTGAAATGGAAACTACAGTAAAAAGTGTAGGTAGTAAAGTTCATTAAACGAGTAAACCCGAGATCGTGATTAAACTTGAAATAAGCTGAACTTCTGCGTGTATTTATATTTTTTTTTTCTGGGTTTATTACAAACAATTAAACCACTTTAATGCACTATTTCAATATTATTGAAATCATTGTAAGTTTTTAAAAAATTTTTTATACTAAAAGTTTTTATTTTACTAATTGCTCTACTACACTTATTTCTTCATCTCATTTAATGATTTATTGACTTATTATTTTTCTGTTACTTTATTTATATCTAGTTTATGAGCTCTTTTGAATGCACCTGAAATCGAAGTTTGCTTTACAAAAGGAGTAAACGACCTGGTGCAGGAAGACTAATGTAACTGGAAAGGAAAAAGGAGAAAAGTTCAAAAGAAAGGAAAAAGAAGGATACACCACACAACAAGCACGCGTGGTTCAATTTTGGATCAAAGCCAGTCTCTCTATGTTTTAAGATATTGCTTTCTGGCATGCACAAGAAACGTCGCCAGGACGTTCTTTCCACCACACTATAGCCTTAAAGGATATTGTCTATGTGTGTACATTTCTACATACAAATGATTACAATTTGTTTTCGATTTTCTATTTGACTTTTTTTTTTCTTCTTCTTAAATTCTTTGCTTTGTTATCTTTTCAGGTTGGATTATTTTATTTAACTTGTGTAACGTAATAGAATATTATAATGGTAATAATAATGTAAAATAAAATAGTAGATGGACATTAATAATAAAGTTGACTAAAAACAAAATTTCATATTATTAACGCTGACTTATCAATGTCTTTTCAGGGAAATTTCTTAACGCTTCAAAGCTACTGAAGTTGTTAATGAGATTCTTGGTTGGAGTCGGAATTCTTGGGAAAGTCATGCAGTAAATAAGCTAAAAACAGAATGACAAAATATTTCACAGTAAACTTTAGAATATGGTATAAATTTTAAGTGATGAAATAAAATATTATGAAAATATCTTTGCCTGAAATTTTATAATGAGAAAAAATAAATAAATCGAATGTCTTATAATACCTCAAACTTAATTTTAAAACAGTAATTCAAGTATATTTTATTTGAAATTTTTTTTTTTTTTGAAGCATTGAATATGAAATAATTCAACTTTTGTGGATGGAAAAATTTGTAATTTATCACGAAATACATTTTTTATTCTAATTATTCATTATTCGAATTATTTTTTTGTTTCTAGATGAATATTATTCTTTTGTAAGTAAACATTCAAGGTTTCTTATTTGTTTTTTTTTTTTTTATTTTTTGTTAAACAAAAAGAGAAAATATTCTTCGTTACTATTCAAGCAAATATTTTTCTATAAAAATTAATTTTACTTTTGTTCTAAATTATCCTCTTACATCGTGCTATTTTTTATTTAGTTTTTCACATCTATAATGATAAAACTACATTCACAAAATATTTTTATTTATCTAACCTAGATAAAAATTCTATAAAATAATCAGTAAGTTTTTTTATATTGAATTTTAATTTTCTAGAAAATTTGGCATTTTTTTTT